GTGATGGTTGGGAGCCCAAACCCAGTGTTCCCCCCCGTGCAAACCAGCACTCGTTGGAGAAACTCCTGTCTGCTCTGCTTTCTTCTCGAGTGTGTTGAACTCACCACCATTGAGTGTTTGGGCTCTTATAACCAGTTCACCAAAGGGGGTTTTGTCCCACACTGTCGCAGCGCCGGTGCTCGGGCCCAGACGGGGCTGCAGTGGCCTCGGTGGATGGCGGGGATGCCTTCTGTGAGCCAACAGCGCTTATTTTGGCCACAGGAATGTCTATAAATAGCCCCAGATCAGGCCTCGAGGCATTCACCGTGTCCCACACGAGTCCTCCATCCGAGCCAGCCTCCTGGTGTTGGAGCACAGGGGAGATGAGCATCTCTCCAGAAAATCTGGAGATGACCAATGTCGCATTCGGTTAATTTTTTTTTTTTTTTTTTTCCCTTATTGCTTTCCTCCTTCCTGATTTTTTCCCCAGCTCCAGCCCGTCTCACTGCCCAGATATGTCAGGGAACTGCTTTGTGAATGCTTCACAGAGTTTGGTCACCACCTCCCAAACAGGTCCGTCTGCGACGCCGTGATTAGGGAGAGGTTGGTTTCAAATTATTCATTTGTGTTTTATAGCAATTGACAGGAGAGAAGTAAACACTCCATACAAATGCCATTTTTTCAGGGCAGTGTCACATCGCTCCTACCTGTGCTGTGTTACCAGGGTCGGGTGCCAGGACCATCCATGGTCTGTGCCTCTGCCCTAAGATGCTTGTGGTTTCCTAGAGAAACCGCAATTCCTACCTGAAAATCTGTAGGAATTGTGGTTTCCGTAGGTGGATCCTGGAGCAGGGCAGTGGGGCCTTTGGGAAATGATGCAACTGGATTTTGTTCTCCAACTGGGAAAGCTGTTTCATCCTACCTTTCCTCCCTGGTGTGTCTTCACCCTTCTCCCAAAGCCAAAAACGCACCCCCATCAGCTTTTGCAAGTCTCAGCCTTTTGTCACCCTTGCCGTAGGGATGACTCCACCCAGGAGATCCCAAGGCTCGTTCCGTCTTGTTTCCTCCCTGGATGCGTGGTAGCTCCATCAGGGATTTGCCTGGCCAAGCTCTTCTTGGGGCTTCTTGTGCTCCAGCAAGCCCTGCACCTCCTGTTCTTGGGGCTGTAAGCCCTTGGCTGTGTTTATTTTGGAGGGTTGCTGGTAATAGCACTGTCCTTTGACACAGTGTGATTTCCCCCTGTGCTTGGCACTGGTGAGGTCCCACCTTGAGTGCTGTGTCCAATTTTGGGCCCCTCATCGTAAGAAAGACTTTGAGGTGCTGGAGCAGGTCCAGAGAAGGGCAACGGAGCTGGTGAGGGGTCTGGAGCACAAGGAGAAGGGTCTGGAGAACTTGTGAGGGAGCTGGGGGTGTTCAGCCTGGAGAAAAGGAGGCTGAGGGGAGACCTTCTCGCTCTCTCCAACTCCCTGAAAGGAGGGTGTAGCCAGGGGGGGTTGGTCTCTTCTCCCAAGAGGAAACGGCCTCAAGTTGTGCCAGGGGAGCTTTAGGAGGGATATTGGGAAAAAATTCTTCACCAAAAGAATTATGAAGCCTTGGAAGAGGCTGCCCAGGGGCGATATTGGGAAAAATTTCTTCACCAAAAGAGTTATGAAGCCTTGGAAGAGGCTGCCCCAGGCAGTGGTGGAGTCACCATCCCTGGAGGGATTTAAAAGCCAGGCAGACATAGTGCTGAGGGACACGGGTCAGTGGTGGGTTTGGCAGGGCTGGGTTGATGGTGGGACTTGATGATCTGAGAGGTCCCTCCAACCTTGACAATTCTATGATTCTGTGATCCATGGGATGTGGTGGCACATCTTTGTCCCTGCAAGTCCCTCCAACCTTGACAATTCTGTGATCTGTGGGATGTGGTGGCACATCTTTGTCCCTGCAGGTAGGAGCGAGCTGTTGATGCTCTGCCTGGTGACCTACAGCTCCTAAACTGTGACCGGGAGTGCCCAAATCCAAATCCAAAACTGCTGAGTCTGGGTTTCCTGCTCGCAGGGTCCCACGTGCGGCCCTCGTGACTCTGAGTAAGGCACAGTCACAGCAGCTCATCCTCTGGCTCCTGACATTGCAGAGGGGCAGAACTGAGCCTTTTGGGGATGGGTTTCTGGACATCGCTGTGGGGCTGGGTTTCCCAGCAGCTTCCCCAGGATGGGGGTGAGATGCAGGGGTGACTGGTGTGTGCGGGGCGGGAGGCTGCATGCTCCCTGCAGAGCAGCAAAAAGTGACACCAAGCCTGAATATAACATGGAACAAGCCTTTCAAAACTTAGATCCCTCCATGGGGGGAAGATTTGGCTTTTCCAGGAAAGAGAAATCTGTTTTTCAGAAATTCCCTGGTGCTTCTCAATGTTCCAAGATGCTGAGATGAGAGAACCGCTGTTTGCTAAGGGTTTGCGTCCTCTGATGGTCCATGTAGCAACAGAGAAGCTTGGGAGCTGTGAGCTGGTTGCAGGAAGGACTGTAACAAAGAGCCAACTTATTTTTGGAGAAGGAAGGAAAGAAAAAAGAGGAAATGCCTCTCTTTCCTCATCTCTTTGGCTGCCCAGGCCTGGAGTCTCTCTGTCACGGGGAATTCCTCCAGTGAGTGACACAGACGGGCTCCAAGTTCCCTCCGAGATGACCTCCACGAGCTGTGTGTGCAGAGCTGGCTGAGTGGCTCCTTGGTTTCAGTGGTAAGCTGAGGTAGGGCCTGATTAATTTTGTTTTCCCCTATTTTTGTTATTTTTGTTTTACCTGTCGCCCACAGCTGCGTTTCCTCAAGCCAGCCCAGAGCCTGCAGAAACACCCAGCACAGAACCGCTCTCCCGAGGGCACCCCAGGTTCTCTGCAGGGGCAACAGCCTCACTGGGATAAAGTGGGAATTTCTGCCTTCAAATCCTGTCTCACGTCCTGTTTCAGCTTCCCCAAAATGGGATATTTTAGTGATCTCCAGACAGGTCTTGGAGAGCATCACCTGTAGCTCTGTCTGCCCATCCCTTGAGAGATAATGGCTCTATATTTCTTCCTCTAGTATCCTCGCTGCAGGAGTGAGCTTAAAACACAGGTAGCTCCTGAAATATTTCTTGAATAATGGGATTTTCAGGGCATTCTTCTCCCTGCTTGGGTCTGGGCTGCCTATTAATAGTGTAAATCTTCTGGCTCGGCTTCTTCCCAAAAACGGGTAAGAGCTGCTGAGCTGAAATGCTTTGGATCTCACCTGGGTGTTGTGAAAAAGTCTGTGCGTGGCTGGAGCACCCGCGGGTGGCTCCACAAACAAAGCATTATTGCGTGTTTCCTTCCCCCAGGGATTTACCTTCTCGACTAGACGGGACAGGGACAGGCTGAGCTGTGCTTTGGGGATCAGATGAGGGAATTTGGCCGCGATTCTTCGGGCTCAGCAGTTCTTTCCCATGTAAGGGCTGGGACCTGCTCCGTGCAGGGACACGCCTGGCTCTCCCGTCTTACCTAAGAGCTCCAGAGAGAGTCCAGGTCTTCAAACCAGGGGGTGTTGGAGCCAGAAATATCCATATTTTTAAGTGGGTTGTTGGGAGCAGTTCCCTAGGGGCCGTGAGGTTCTCTGTCCCCCTTGATAACTTTCACAGGATGATTTTCTAAAGGTGTTTCTCTGGTTCCAGTAATAATTCAGGAGGAGAAACCAGTTTCTGGGGACAGGTCAGACTCGACAGGCACAAACACCATCAAGGTTTTGTTTTTTTTAAAAAAAATCTATTGTCCAACCGGTGAGGTTTGGCAGAGACCTGTTGTGTCACCAAAATAATGTGCACGGGGATGATGTGTTGTGGCTCAGCTCGTCGCCAGCCAGAGCAAATAAACGTGGCATATTCAGCTGAGATTACATCCCGGGTGAGTAATCTCCCTCCCTGAATGCCAAGTATGTGTGAGACGGGGACCTAAATAGATCTGTAAGCTCTGGGGGCAGGAGGAGGCCGGTGGGTCAGCTGGGAAGGGATAGAGGATTTGGGTCCGAGGGGATTTCTAGGATTTCTAGTAGGTTTTGCAGGAGCAGAAAAGCGATTCATGCTGCGTGGAGCCTCCGAGGGCTGTTGTCAGCAGAGCGTGGGGCCGGCACTGACTTCAGAGCTAACTTTGTGTCTGCGAACGGGTTAACCCAGGATGAGTCAAACTATCCTGATTTTTGAGAGAGTGGCAATGTCAGCCTCACCCCAGCAGGGGCAAACGACTCGGGATTAATTGAGCTGCCTTTGTCCCGTATGCACGTGCCTCCATCTGTATCTGCGCCGCCCTCTGCACCCTCCGAGTCCCCGCTGCCCTGCGGCCAGGCCAGCCATGCCAGCCCCTCTTTGAAAGTCTGGGGCAGCTCTCAGCCTCCTGGCATCAATACCCAGCATAGCAGCAATTATGGGAGCTGCCTGTGACAAGAAAAACCTCTGTCTATTTCTGGGATGCTGAGATTTTGCACGGATTTAGCACAGAGCCCGCGCGCTGCAAGAATGAGGCTCCTGGACTCGGAGCATCTTTTACACCTGGAAACAACGTCTCTCCCCTGCCAGCACTTCCCAGGGCAAGACTCTGAGACTGAGGAGGGGACTCCTCATGGCAGAGCCAGAAAGAGAGCCCAGAGCTCTGATTTATTTCTGTTCTGAACTGCTTTGCGATGGCTGCACTGCCACCAAAACCCCGCTACAGTGCTGGCTGTAAAGGAGGAGGAGGAGGCCGTGCAGCCCAGCCCGCCTGCTCAGCGGAGAGGGAAGTTGGTTCTGCAGCTGCGGCCACGCTGCTGGTGTGTCTCTGAAAAGCACACAAATCTTTGTGGGTGAGGTTCTCCCTATGAGTTACTGCCTTTAGGGTTCTCTTAAAACCGATTGCTACACCCCGTAAGTAACCTGCATCAAGGCTTAGCAGTCCGAGAGATTAAAAAAAGCTGTTTAATGCAGGCTGTGAGTCTTGGTATCTCCATCCGCCTCCTCAGGGGGCTGCAGAAGGAGGTTTCAGCCATCCCACCTCTTCTTTTCACAGCTGCAGAGCTACTTTGCCGCCTGTGAAGACGAGACGCCGGCCATCAGAAACCATGACAAGGTTCTGCAGCGCCTCTGTGAACATCTGGACCACGCTCTGCTCTATGGGTAAGCGTGGAGCCTGTCCCTGGGCTGCTGAGGTGCTTGTCACCCTGCTTTGATGTACCCTCAGCACGGGAAAGCTGTTTAGGCAGTAATTGAGATGGAGATAACGATGGCCCTGCTTAACCTTTCTCTGGACTTCTTTCTTCCTCCAGCCTGCAAGATCTTTCCTCAGGCTACTGGGTGCTGGTGGTTCACTTCACCCGCCGGGAAGCCATCAAGCAGATAGAGGTGCTTCAACACGTGGCCACCAACTTGGGACGCAGTGAGTATTGGCAGGAGCTGCCCTGGCTCTCCGAGGGCAAACCTCCAATTTGGGGACAGCTGGCAGGAGGCCCGGGTGGGTTGTTGCCGGCCACGTGGCCAAAGGTGGGGCTTGAGACAGGCTGAGGGAGCCAGCGGGCAACTCCTGGCTGAGGGTGGCTTGTTTTGCTCAGGCCAAGGAGGTGGGATTCCTGCCATCACAGCTCTAGAAATAATTGCACCATTATCTCGGGATGGGGTGTCAGGTCAAAGACACAGCCCTGCTTCTGCTGCCCTGAAACCAAAGCCATCTGCTGGGTTCTGCTCCGGGAAGGGTTTCTGGCAGATGGGAGGCATCACCTCTCACCCCAGAACAGATTCACAGAATGCTGTGGGGTTGGAAGGGACCTCTGGAGATCACCCAGTCCAACCCCCGGCCAGAGCAGGGCCACCCAGAGCAGGTCCCACAGGAACGTGCCCGGGGGGTTTGAATGTCTCCAGAGAAGGAGACTCCACCACCTCTCTGGGCAGCCTCTGCCAGGGCTCTGCCACCCTCACAGGAAGGAAGTTCCTCCTCATGTTTAGGTGGAACTTCCCACATTCCAGTTTGTGTCTGTTGCCCCATGTCCTGTCCCTGGGCACCACTGAAAAAAGACTGGCCCCATCCTCCTGACACCTGCCCTTTAGCTATTGCTCAGCATCGATGAAATTCCCTCTCAGTCCGGTCTTCTCCAGGCCAGACAGCCCCAGGTCCCTCAGCCTTTCCTCAGCAGAGAGATGCTCCAGTCCCTCATTATCTTCACAGCCTCTGCTGTCCCCTCTCCAGCAGTTCCCTGTCCTTCTGGAACTGGGGAGCCCAGAACTGGTCCCAGTGCTCCAGATGGGGCCTCCCCAGGGCAGAGCAGAGGGGCAGGATGACCTCCCTCCACCTGCTGCTCACACTCTTCCTGATGCCCCCCAGGATGCCATTGGCCTTCTTGGCCATGAGGGCCCATTGCTGGCTCCTGGGCAACTTGTCCACCAGGACTCCCAGGTCTCTCTCTGCAGAGCTGCTCTCCAGCAGGTCACCCCCAACCTGTGTAACATCTCACTGTAGCTGTCGTTTGCCCAATGCTGCAAGTTGTCTGTAGTGGATGTTTGGGACCATCAAGACGGTTTTTGACGCAGGACAGTGACTGCCCAGAGGCCTCCTCTCTGCCTGATAACCCCACACCCCTCATCTCCCAAACCCCGTACCGGTGAGAGCGGAGCTGAGCGCAGACCCCACTGTCACCCCTCTCTGCACCACAATTTGTGTAATCCCTCAAATTGCGCCTGCGCTGATTCAGAGTGATTCTCCCTCCGTCTCTCCTGTCTCCCGATCCCTGCTGGGAGTGCCACAGGGCTCCCATCTCACCGGAGAGACACAGTTGTGTGTCTGCTTCTCATCTGGCCACCACACAGTCTCTTATTCCCACTCCAAATCACAAATCCACCCCATCGTCTCCCTCTGGCATTTCCCTCCCCAGATTTCCCCAAGGGTCAGTTCCTCCCCTGAAATGATACAAATGAGAACGAACAATCTGACATGTTTTAACCGATTTGTGATTATTTCCAGGCTTGCTTCGCTTCTCTGGTGTTTCCCCGCAGGTAAATCTCTCTGCTCTTTGCTTTTCAGGCCGGGCATGGCTGTACCTCGCCCTCAACGAAAACTCCTTGGAGAGTTACTTGAGGCTGTTCCAGGAGAACCTAAGCCTGTTGCACAAGTACTACGTCAAGTGAGTGTCCCAGCTCGTTCTCGTTTGGGCACTGGTTGCCATCCATTCCTGGCAGAAGCAGGCCCTAATTTGCCAGTGGGGAACAAGCAGTGGAGCAGGATCTGACCTTTCCTTGTGGGTTTTGCATGATTAATTTAAAGGTCCCATATGTGGACACGCTGTCCTATAGAAGAGGGCTTTTATGCACCTCTCACAGTTAGCTGCTGTAACTCCCAGTCCCAGATGTGGCCTTTATATTCTTCCATGTTCTCCAAGAAGCTGCTGAGCTCTTGTCCGGGGACCCAGCTCTGGTGGACACCTGGAAATCTGGCTGTAGCTTGCTTCGGGGGCAGCACATAGTGCTCTGAGCCACATATATCTGCCCTTAAGCTCTGCTATTGCTCTTAAGAAGAAGAAAACAGCAGGCTGACAGCTCTGAGGCTTTTATGTGGCAGCTCGGAGACAGGCCACCAGCATATGTGGACACGCTGTCCTACAGAAGAGGGATTTTATGCACCTCTCACAGTTAACTGCTGTTACTCCCAGTCCCAGATGCAGCCTTTATATTCTTCCATGTTCTCCAAGAAGCTGCTGAGCTCTTGTCCGGGGACCCAGCTCTGGTGGACACCTGGAAATCTGGCTGTAGCTTGCTTCGGGGGCAGCACATAGTGCTCTGAGCCACATATATCTGCCCTTAAGGTCTGCTATTGCTCTTAAGAAGAAGAAAACAGCAGGCTGACAGCTCTGAGGCTTTTATGTGGCAGCTCGGAGACAGGCCACCAAGAAAACAGAAGGGTGCTTGTAGCTTTTTCTTCTCTTTCCCACATCTTTAAAGCTCTGCTGTTTTATCTGCGCTGCAGGAACGCCCTGGTTTGCAGTCATGATCATCTGACCTTGTTCTTAACGCTGGTGTCCGGGCTGGAGTTCATCCGCTTCGACTTGGATCTGGTGAGTGTTTTATCTGTTTCTCTTGGAGCAGGGAAGGTCCTGGGTGTCAGAGGTCCCACTGCTTGGTCCAGGCTGTACCTTCTTGTTGGTGTTCAGCTGAAAACGCGAAGCTGCTGCTTTTAGGAAAGGCTTTAGGCTGGGATCTTTGGAGACCCAGCAATGGGAATTACTCCCCTGCCACTGTTCAGAAGAGGATCGAGGTAGTTTTGGGGACGCCAGCTGTGGGGCAGATTGATGGGGTTGAAAGAGTTGAGCTCTGCAAGCACGATACAAAATGCTGGTGTCCCTCTAGGTAAACACAAAGCCACTGGCTAAGCCTCCATGTCACGGCAGACCCACCAGATTTCCCCTGAAAGGTGCAGAAATGGACAGTGGGAGGACGTTGAAGGACAGCCCCATCGTTTGGACTGTGCTAATAACTGTGTGTGGTGACTCAGAGCCTGACTCACCCCACGCTTTCCTCTCTGCAGGACGCTCCTTACCTGGATCTGGCCCCCTACATGCCCGATTACTACAAACCTCAGTACCTGCTAGACTTTGAGGACCGTCTGCCCAGCTCCCTGCACGGCTCGGACAGCCTGTCCCTCAACTCCTTCAACTCGGTCACCTCCACCAACCTGGAGTGGGACGACAGTGCCATCGCTCCCTCCAGTGAAGGTCAGTGGTTTTTGGGGGATGGGTGCAGTCAGGGCTCCCACATCGCCTCTGGCTGAGCTGCTGGACCGGGCCACACGCCCAATGAGGTAGCAAATAATGGGCTGGAAGAGGGCAAAGCAAGAAACCCAGTGGTTAGGCTGTTTCTCCTGTCTTGCCCTGGGAAGTGCTGGAATTTAAGCTGTGGACATCCCCTTTGCCTTGGACCAGGAGAGATGGACTTTCCCTTCTAGTCACCAGAGGCCACGTTTCTATCCTGGGTGGGTGTGTTTTAGCAAAAGCTGGAGAAATCTCCCCATGGAGTGAAAATCGTGTCTGTCTGAACGTGGCTTCCAGTTCAGAGCAGGTATTCAGGGTGGCAGAGGACCTTTTTTAACTGTTTATTTTGTAGTCCAGAGCCCCACATACACTGGAAGTGGTGGGGAGTGGTTTCCAGATTCTTCTCTCCATGTCTGCAGTCCGAGGGAAGGTGGTCTTGGAGGTGCTGGTTTTACCTCTGCATTTTTTGGCTTGAGCAGCCTGATAAGGTGTCGTGCTCACCCCCTTACCTCTGTCAGAGAGGGCTGGGGGTGTTCCTAATGAACTGAGGAGACACATGCCTTTTGCCTGCCCCCTTAACCTGCTTTGGGCTGGAGTGGGGAGCTCTTAAGCTGCACGAAGCGTGTTCACATGAAGCAACAGCTCTGCTGCTGCTGTTCCTAATCCCAAATGCGTTGCTCCTGTTCCTTCTTTTGATGTCAGTTTGAACAGAAGGAGATGAGGGGATTCTGGAGTAGGTGGGGTGATGTGTGCCGTTAATTGGATGCAGTGAATTCAGATGGGCTCCCTCTGAGACAAGGGTCTGTGAGTTGCCTTTTGTGTGCAAGATAGAAACTGCAGGCATTAAAAATGCTGAGAAGGAGCAGCCCGGGATGGGAATTAGCATCGTTTCAGTGAAGGACTTTGAGGCACAGCACTGTTTGGGGCTCACACGCTCGTGCACTAAGCGTGAAAGGGTTTGCTTTCAGGCACTGGCTTATGCCAAACCTCCAGTGTCCCAGGTAAGTTGGAGACAGCACGAGGAACGTAGCAATGAAAGTCACAGGAGGAAGCTCCTCTGTCCCCAGAGGTCTGGCATAAGCAGCTGTTTCAGCGTATCCTGCACCCCTTTGGATTCCTGTTCCTCGCTCAGCAGAACCTGTCTTGGTGCCAGCACAAGTCTTGCCTGTCCCTGCTGACTGGGCGAGGGGTGTCACTTGGGTTTGGCCACACTCCTCCAGCTCGTCTGGTGGATGAAAGCTTAATGCTGGAGAGAAGAGGGGTTTGCAGTAGAGATCTGGGAGATTTCAGAGCTAGATTTTGGTTTTGGCTTTGTCACACGCTGTTCCATGTGTCCAGGCAGCAGTTGTGATCTGTGTCTCAGTTTCCCCGCAGACAGAGGGGTTTGGTGCTGGTGTAGAAATGGTGTCCCCCATTCCGGGACCAGGACGGTGGAGGATTCTGCTTCAGTCATTGTCAGTGTTCCTCCAACGTGGAGGAATTCGACTTCAGTAACTATTTCACTGCTCATCATTTCAACAGGAGCCTCTCGTTGCCCCGGGAGTGTAGGTGGAGCTGGGGATTTTAGGATCAGAGAACAAGTTTTTCCCTTTAATCAGACCCCTGGCTTTGCAAACATTAATGGGTCAAACATCACAGTATCTCTGGGAGGTAGGTGTGAAGTGGGGAAACTGAGGCACAGAGCAATTAAATTGAAGCACAGAGGGGATCCCTGATTAGGTACGTGACACCAACTGTTCTGGTTTGGCTTTCCAGCAGCTCCATAAAGGGGCCTTCGTCCTCCCCTGGTCCCATTGTAGCTCCCGTAACGCAAACATCCAGCAGGAACCACCATTAGTGCAGCTGGTTTCCATTTGCATCCATGTTCCCTAACTATTTTCTCATGCGTTTCAGATACCAGTGGAAGATTGTTTTATTTCTGTCCTTTCCCATTTCCCTCCCCAAAATCCCCCTTCACACTCTCCCCTGTGTCCCCTTTGTCCCTTTAACAACCGACCACCCCATCTCGATGGAATTGGGTAGAGGCAGAAAGGAGCAGAAAAGATCCCCCCCAGAAGGTGGGAGGTTGGGTGTCTCCTTTAAGCTTTTCCTGGCATACACAGACTCGCTCTCCTGGCCGTTAATCCCGGAGTGGAGGGACGTTTTCCTGCCTCTGATGATGCCTCCTGTGTCTGCCCGTAGCAGATGTGAGGCCAGAGTTTCAAGTGAGGTTCTGTGGCTGCTCGATACGTTACGGCCAGTGTTGGTAAAGGAGCCTTTTTCCCAGGTTATAAAATCAAAGGTGTAAAATCTCCGCTGTCCTAAAGCTGCGGGCAGGGATGGGCGGCCGTCCCAGAGGAACGTGACCTGAATTTACAGACCTTACGCTGTAAATTCCCTCTTTAGGGTAAGGCATGCAGGGTGCTGACTGAAAAACCGATCCACCTTCATTCATTTCCTGAAATCACTAGAAATTTCTGCTTTTTTAAATTTTTTATATGAGGCCTTTTGCCAGGAATTAATTTGGGAGGCTTTGGTTTTGTTTTCCCTGCTCTCCTGTGTCAAAAAATCTCTCTTGAAGTCACAACATCCAGCACATTGCTCTGCTCAGTTGGGATTACCACACTTTTTTTGATCCACCTTCATTCATTTCCTGAAATCACTAGAAATTTCTGCTTTTTTAAATTTTTTATATGAGGCCTTTTGCCAGGAATTAATTTGGGAGGCTTTGGTTTTGTTTTCCCTGCTCTCCTGTGTCAAAAAATCTCTCTTGAAGTCACAACATCCAGCACATTGCTCTGCTCAGTTGGGATTACCACACTTTTTTTTTAAATTTTATTAAATTTTATTTTACCACTTCTAAAACCAATTTGTTGGCGATGTCTGGCCTTCACGGTCAGGAGCACGTGCCCATTTTAGAGGAACTTCTTCTCCTTCCTCCCCGTGCAATCCCTGTGCGTATTCTTTGCACGTCACAGGAGTAAGGGATCTCTTGGCTTTACCCCCGGAGGAAACACACCCACGCTCTGTCCTTTGCAGCTAAAAGCTGGGTGGAGATTTGGGTCCGAATCGCCTGAATGTTTGGGGAAATTCTGCCTGAATTCCATGTGGATGGCTTTATGGCTCTAACATGCTTCCTCTCTCACCCCACGCACAGCGATGCTCACAGAGATGGTTTAACACCCTGCTGAAGCCCGAGTGTGTGCCCAGAGAGAACACACCATGTTTCCAAACCCAACACCCGGCAAGAACGTAACCCTGGGTGTTAGACCCGGGCTGGGAGAAGCCACGGGGCACTGGGGACAAATCCCTCTGGTTTTCCAAGGCATGTGCAGCTCCAGGGTGATCCAGCCCTGCTCCGGGCTGGGTTACTGTGTGCTGAGCAAACCTCAGCCCTGGCAAAGCTTTCATCCCACCCCCCGGCCAGGCCAACTTAGTGATGCCTCCCTGGCTGTTTGTACGCAGAGCAGGAGATAAAGTTGGGGCACTGAAAGTTCCTCCCGTTTTCAGTGGACGCTTTTGGGGTAAAATTTTGGACAAAGTTTGTTTTGTCTCAACAGAACTCGCGGGGTTTAGGCAAAAGAAGTGACGTTCGTTTTGATGATAGGGGCTAGAAGCCTGGGGCTGAAATAGCTTTTAAATGTTTTATCTTCCCTTTAATGTAGACATTAAAAATCTCCCCGATTTACTTCCCCTGACGGAGCTGGCACCCCCCGCGCTGCGGGGCAGGCCCTTTAGAGGGAACAAAGCAGCCTTCTGAAACCCGCCGTCACAAAACTGCCTTTATTAGACTTCTATAAGAGGTTTCATTTTCCTCCTCGTAAACCTACGCCCCTGAACCAGTTGGCCAGGGCTGGGATTTCCTTCGGAAGGGATGTCCCTGCCGAGCAAGAGGTTTCCAGCTGGCTTTGGGAATGGAGGGCGCTGGAGAAGAGGAGGGTGTGGGGTGACTTTCCTTTAACCGTGACTTTGTGGATGGGTAACTCCGAGCATGACTCCTGTAGCCCTTCTCTGCTGCTCCTTTTCCCTCTGAAGACTAACACGGGCCGAGCCGGGGATGCTACGACCTGTCTGTGCTCCCTGCTGTCCTCAGACCCTGGTGAATGCTGTGTGTGTGTGTGTGTCCAACCCCGCACACACGTCCAGCCCCACGTGTGTGTGTCACACGAGCTGAGAAAAGCAGCCAGCTCCATTTCTGCCCTTCTACCCGAGCGAGCATCTTCCCAAGACCCCATCACAGGGGGGCAGCAGCCCCGATAGCTCGCTGGCATCTCACTAAGGAGAACCACAGCCCCAAGACCTCCTCGAGTTCCTTCCCAAGGATGCTATTTCTGAATCCAGCTGTGGATTCCGAGCTGGAATGACGGAGCTGGGTGACCAAGCTGTTATTTCCAGGCGTTGCCCGAATCGCAGTGGGTTTCAAAATGCAAGAGCGATGCTGGGTCACGCGGTGGCCTCTCTGTCCCTCCTCGTGAAGAGCCTGCTGCCTGCAGAGATCTCTGAATGGCCCAGTGGCACTCTGCCAGCGGCCAGGATGGTGTCACTTGCCAGCAGCAAGTGACCATGTAGTGCCCTGACCCCTCCCTGTGCCCAGCTTTGCTTGATCTGACTCGATCCAGATGCCGGAGCCGACATAAATCCTGCTCTTCCCTTCTTGTCTTTGCAGATGGAGACCTCACGGACACGCTCAGCTGCCCGCGCTCCACCGCCTCGGAGGCCAACGGCAGCAAGGCCTCGGTGAAGAGCCCCACTCAGCGCTACAACCCCTTCAACGAGGAGAAAGCCGACGTGCCGTCCTCCACCGAGACCACGCCGGTGCACGCAGCGTCCCAGGAGAAGGCAGAAGCCACCCCTGAAGGAACAGACCAGTCCGAGAGCTGCACGGAGCTGGAGGTCATCAGGTAGGGACAGAGCTGCCTGGCCCGGAAACGTGCTCCCGAGTGTCATCTGTCACCAGAGGTTGATGATGTGCCACCACTTCTAGTCCAATGTAGCCTTTATACTACTATGAGAAAGCGGTTTTATACCTCCAGACACCAACTGGTGCTCTGTGGGTGTCAAGAGAGATGGTCCTTTGAGTCTGTAGGGCTACAGCTTGGCTGGACATAAACACCTTTGCCTGAGAGTCTGTATCAGAGAGCTCAGAGGAAGCCCTGGCCTTTTATTTGAGGCTTTCTCCAGCTGGTGGCAGGTTTGCAGCACCTCTGGGCCTCAGATGACTTCTCTCCCGTCCTTCCTCTTCTTTGTCGATGAGCTGTGGCTAAACCTGTTGAGGGAGATGCCTCTGCAGACCTGCTGGCCTGCGTTTGACTCTTGCAGAGGAGATCCCCAGGGGTCCCTCGGAGCCCTTAAACCCAGACGAAGAGCTCAAGGCTCTGTCTGCTCACACCCAGGGTGGGGGCACCCCAAAACCAGCCCAGCAGGCCCGAGCTCTGCTCTCGCACCCTGTTTTTCCTGGGAGGTGCGGAGGAGCTGGGTTATGTCGCTCCCCACTCTCCAGCAGATGCACAGGAAGGGGAGCATCATGCTCACTTCCCAAAAAAGAGTGACCTGGGTCAGTTTGGGTGCCATGGGGGGCCTGAACACTTCCACAACCACCATCTCCATGTGCTCCAGCCTGCATCTCCCTCTTCTGGCAGCTGGGGACGCGGCATTCCCACCTCCTCTTGAGACCTTCTCCCATCGTGCTCTCAGAGAGGGATTTCTCCCACCCCACTTCAGCTCCACATCTGTTGTGACCTCCTTTGTGGCCAAAGGAAGCCCAAGATGCTTCTGCCCATGGCAGGGGGGTTGGAACTCGATGATCTTTGAGGTCCCTTCCAACCCTAACCATTCTATGATTCTATGCCGTGTCCTGCAGCTGGTGCCTCTATTCTTTTTTGGATAAGAAGGAAATGGTGTCCATACCTTGCTTTTCTTGTGACAGCTGGCACGGAGACGGGGGCTCTTTGTGGGCACACACTGAGTGATGTTCTTGATATGAGGATTTCTCTGCAGGAGGGAAAACTGCAGAGGAAGGCTGTTGGGGAAGGGTGGGACCCCTCTCTATTTTGGAAAAGTCTAAGCGTGTGCGGATGAGTGACGTCTCCGTTGCTCTCTCACCACGCAGGTTAGCCAAGAAGAAGAAAACAGGCAAGAAGAAGAAAGTGAAGCCCGAGGAGCCAGTGAACACTCCTGCACCCGTGGAGCCCCAGCAGGTCAGCGGGGACAGCGGCGTGAACGGGCTGAGCGACAGAGAGGACCTGCAGAAAGATGATGGTCCCGCTGCCCCGGCCGGTGAGCCGAGCCCGGGCAGGCAGGAGGAGGGTCAGGAGCGCTCTGCCCTCAGCCAGCTGGCTTTACACATCCCCGAGATGAAGGACACGTCCATGGAGAGCCTGGGGCAGCCCCTCAGCAAGGTGATGGACAGGCTCAACGGGCAACTGGACCCCGGAGGCTGGAATGCCCCTCACGAGCCCCCCGGGCAGTCCTTTCGGACTGGCACGCCAGGGGAGACACCAGATGGATCGTCCTCTGGCGACTTTAGTGAGGGGATTTCAGCCCCCATGGACTTCTACCGCTTTACCGTCGAGAGTCCAAACGCTGCTGCACCAGGTGGTGGCCACCATGACTCTCCAGGGCCTGGCCAACCGCCACATGTTTCTGGTAGCTCTGAGGCTCCTGAAGAAGAAGAAAGCAGAGAGGGAGAGACAGTTGGAGCAGTAGAGGAGGCTGGAGGGGCAAGTGATGAGCCCCAAACTGGCCAGACAGAAATGGCCAACCCCCAGGCTCTCCAAGAGCCCAAGAAGGAGCAGCCCAGCCCTTCCCCAAGCAGCGCTGAGGACTCTGGTGTGGAGGAAGGTCAGGGCAGCCCTTCAGAGCTGACCCATCCCTCCGAATTCAGGTGAGGCTGGGTTTGCTCAGCAGGGAGAGTGTCTTCCAAACACTCTTGAGCTCAAGCTGGTACTTCTCCTGTTGTCCTTGGTCTTGGGGGGCAAAGCCCATCCTTTTCCAGGCTGAAGATGAAACACAAGGGGAGAGGAGAAGGTCTTGGGGGGCCAACAGGTGCCCAAATCAAGGACAAGTTCAATAAGGAAGGAGACTGCCCTTCCTGGACTCACCCAGCCCCACCTCTGTGTCCATCCTCTGCTGTCTCTCTCCACAGGGTGGATAACAACCATCTCCTCCTGCTGATGATCCATGTCTTTCGGGAGAACGAGGAGCAGTTGTTCAGGGTAAGGTGGTTGTGATCAATCTCCTGCGAAGGCCCAGCCCTGTGCCTGCCTCATCCGTGGGCTGAGAGCTCTTCTCTCTCCACACAGATGATCCGAATGAGCACCGGGCACATGGAGGGGAACCTGCAGCTCATCTACGTCCTGCTGACGGATTGCTACGTGTATCTGATCCGAAAAGGTATCCCATCCCAGTGGCCTCTGTGCTTAAATCCAGGGAAGGAGACTTGCTTGATCTGTGGCTTGTCCATAAATTATAGAATTATTGAGTGATTTGGATGGGAAGGGACCTTAAAGCCCCCCCAGTGCCACCCCCTGTCCTGGGCAGGGACACCTCCCACCACATCAGGTTGCTCCAAGCCCCCTCCAACCTGGCCTTCAACCCCTCCAGGGATGGGGCAGCCCCAGCTTCTCTGGCCAACCTGGCGCAGGCTCTCACCTCCCTCACACCAAACAAGTTCTTCCCCCCAGCTCAGCTCCATCTCCCCTCTTTCAGTGTCAAACCCTTCCCCTTCCTCCTAGGGCTCCCCTCCCTGATCCAGAGTCCCTCCCCAGTTTTCCTGGAGCCCCTTGAGGGACTGGAAGGGGCTCTAAGTTCTCCCTGGAGCCTTCTCTTCTCCAGGCTGAACCCCCCAACTCTCTCAGCCCCCCCTCCCAGCAGAGGGGCTCCAGCCCTCCCAGCATCTCCGTGGCCTCCTCTGGCCCCGCTCCAACGGCTCCATGTCCTTCCTGTGCTGAGGACTCATGAGGCCACCATAGCTCACTCCCTTCACTGCCAGCTCCTGCCAGTGTCCCTAGGAGCGGTGGCCGCCGCAGTAGGGAGCTCAGGTTGATTTGTCCCCTGAGAAATCATGGGACACGTGCCCCACAGCTCAGTGCTGCCTGGGACACGGCTTGGTTTGCGTGTCCTGTGCCCACCCCTCCTTCACACAGCTCTTTGTGTCTGCCAGGGGCAGCGGAGAAGCCGTACATGGTGGAGGAGGCCGTTTCCTATAACGAGCTGGATTACATCTCGGTGAGCGCAGCCTGGGTCGGGTCTTGAGGGGAGCAGGAGGCGTGTGGGGGGGCTCAGTCCTCACCTCTCTGGCCACGGGGGTGTCAGGAGCATCACAGTGGGGGGCTTCTATGGGGCTCTGTCCCCAGGGAGCATTTTGACCAGCCAGTCTTTGAGACTGGAAGAGTTAGAAATGATCCCCCCACCTCGAATGCCACCTCTGTGGGAGCCCAGCTTGCTCGTACCTTCACGTGGGCAGCAGAGCCACTGCTGACCTTCTCCCTCCTGGGGCCAGAAGCCAGGTTCAGCCCCTCGTCCCCCACCTAGCTTCCTTAACTGGTCATACGTGTCACAGGTTGGGCTGGATCAGCAGACGGTGACGCTGGTGTGCACCAACCGGAGGAAGCAGTTCCTGCTGGACACGGCGGACGTGGCTCTCACTGAGTAAGCGGGGACGGGGTGGTGAACCGTGGTGCCTTCCTCTGGGGGTCCAGGACCTCTGCCCGGCACCTTGGACTTGGGGAATGCAAGAGACTCTGGTGAGAGCCCTTCCTGAGCACCACGTCAACTCGTCGTTTGAATATCTTCAGGGATGGTGCCTCAACCACCTCCCTGGGCAGCCCATTCCAAGGCTTGATAACCCTTTCAGTGAAGAATTTTTTCCTAATATCCATCCTGAACCTCCCCTGGCACAACTTGAGGCCGTTTCCTCTTGTCCCATTGCCTGTTCTTTGGGAGAAGAGACCAACCCCCACCTCTCTACAATCTCCTTTTAGGTAGTTGTAGAAAACCAGAGAGGGTTTGGTTTGATACCATCAACTAAAACCTGCAGGCACTGGGTGACACGGACTCTGTGTCCTTTGTGTCGCTTGGGATGAGTAGGGACGAGATCTTGAGTTTTGAGGCACGTCCCCAGGTCTCTCTCCATGTTGTCAGCTCAGGGAGGTGACCTCTTTGGGGCCTGAATGGTCATACTGGGATCTGTGTTGGGATGGGTGTCCATGTCCCAGTATCATCAGTCTCACCCATCCTGGAGCTCAGACTTGGTTGATTGATCGACCTTTCATTGATTTTGAGACCCTGGTTGATTGATCAACCTTTCATTGATTTTGAGACCCTTTGGTCTGGGAGACCAGAGGCCCACGTTGAAGGGAAGCCCCTTTGGCATGAGAGCACGTGAGGGAGATGAAGGGCTGTTTGCCCTGACTTCATCAGAGTTCTCTGTCTCCCTCTCAGGTTCTTCCTGGTCTCCTTGAAGTCAGCCATGATCAAAGGGTGCCGGGAGCCCCCGTATCCCAGTATCCTCACGGATGCCACCATGGAGAAACTGGCGCTTGCAAAGTTCGTGGCCCAGGAGTCCAAGTGTGAGGTGAGTTTGGGTATGGGGGCCATCACTCCACGTGGCAGAGGCTCTCAGGAGGCTCTCGTTGACTTCTCCACTTGACTCCGGCAGGCCTGCGACGTGGTTGTGCGTTTCTACGGCCTCGTTCACTGGGAAGACCCCATGGACGAGGCGCTGGGACCCACCAACAGTAGCTACAGCTCCACCGAGAACGCAGTCACCAAGGACGGCGTCCTGCACTACAAGGCGGGGACCTCCTACCTGGGCAAGGAGCAGTGGAAGACCTGCTTTGTGGTGCTCAGGTGGGCGCTGGGGCTGTGGGCTGGGGGGCTGGGGTCAGGCAGGGCTTGGTGGAGAAGGTGCTGGGACCAGCTTGCTGCCCAGGAGTTGCTTGGGAGATGGAGAGGACCCATCTTGGCACCTGGGAGGTGACAAGCCACCGGCTGTGGCTGCCCAGCAGCAGGGGGGAGGGCAGGCTGGAGGGGCTGTGGGATGGAAGGCAGAGGGTGTTTGTGTGGTTGGTGGAACCAAGCTGACTCCAGTTACCACCTCTCTCCTCTTCCCAAACGGCAGCAACGGGATCTTGTACCAGTACCCGGACCGCACGGACGTCACCCCTCTGCTCTCCATCAACATGGGGTAAGCGCCTGGTGGGACATGGCAGCCCAGCTCAGAATCACAGAGTGGCCTAGGTGGGAAGGGACCTTTAAGATCATCTAGTCCAACCATAAAACAAACAAACAAAAAAAACCCACATAGAAAAAAAACCAAACCAACACTAAACCATATTCCCAAGCATCATATCAACTCATCTTTTGAATATCTCCAGGGATGGTGCCTCAACCACTTCCTGGGCAGCCCATTCCAAGGCTTGATAACCCTTTCAGTGTAAATATTTTTCCCAATCTCCAACCTGAACCTCTCCTGGTGCAACTTGAGGCCGTTTCCTCTTGTCCCATGGCCTGTTCCTTGGGAGAAGAGACCGACCCCCCCTGGCTACACCCTCCTTTCAGGGAGTTGGAGAGAGCCAGAAGGTCTCCCCTCAGCCTCCTTTTCTCCAGGCTGAACACCCCCAGCTCCCTCACAAGTTCTCTAGATCCTTCTCCTTGCTCTCCAGACCCCTCACCAGCTCCATTGCCCTTCTCTGGACCCACTCCAGCACCTCGGTGGGGATCTGGGGATGGGGGAGCTCCTTGGGGTGTTCAGGGGGGGTCTTTAGGGGCAAATCATGACCTGGTCCATGCCGGAGGACTCCCTGCTTGCCCCCGGCTGGGTACGGATGCCCGTTTGCTTTGGCTCTGGTGCGTGTGGCTGGAGATGGGCCCATTTTCTCCTGGATTTTCCACCCTTTGATGGGGAGTTGGTCTCTGAGGGGCTGACATGTTCCTCCTGGGGGAGCTCCTTGGGGTGTTCAGGGGGGGTCTTTAGGGGCAAACCATGACCTGGTCCATGCTGCAGGACTCCCTGCTTGCCCCTGGCTGGGTACGGATGCCCGTTTCCTTTGGCTCCGATGCGTGTCGTTGGAGATGGGCTCATTTCCTCCTGGATTTTCCACCCTTTGATGGGGAATTGGTCTCTGAGGGGCTGACATGTTCCTCCAGGAGCCACACTGGGTGTCCCCCACCAACCCACCAGCTCTACCATGGTGTTCAGGGACTGAGAGCATCCTTGGAGCAACCGTAGGGGGTGTCGCAGATGGGAAACGAGTGTTTGCGGGGAGAAGGGGGGAACATGCAGCGCGGGGTGGGGGGCAGAGGGAGGCTGGTTTTGGGCTGGCCCTGACCCCTTTCCATCCTGCTCATCTCCATCCTCCCCCCTCTCTCCCAGCGGCGAGCAGTGCGGGGGATGCCGACGCTCCAACACCACCGACCGGCCCCACTCCTTCCAGGTGATCCTGACGGACCGGCCCTCCCTGGAGCTCAGCGCCGAGAACGAGGAGGACATGGCAGACTGGATGCAGTACTTCTGCCAGGCTGTCTCCAAAGGGGTGAGCCAGGGATGGGACACCCCCTTCCCCCAAACATGGGCACATCCACCCCCCCTCCTTCACCCGGAGCCCCTTTGGGGATGTCGGGAAGGGATCACAGAATCCCAGAATGCTACGGGGTTGGAAGGGACCTCTGGAGATCACCCAGTCCAACCCCCGGCCACAGCAGGTCCACCCAGAGCAGGTCCCACAGGAATGTGTCCGGGGGGGGTTGGAATGTCTCCAGAGAAGGAGACTCCACCACCTCTCTGGGCAGCCTCTGCCAGGGCTCTGCCACCCTCAAAATCAAGAAGTTCCTCTTCATGTTGAGGTGGAACTTCTTATATTCAAGTTTGTGCCCATTTCCTCTTGTCCTGTCCCTGGGCACCACTGAAAAAAGACCAGCCCCATCCTCTTGGAGCCCCTCTGCTACGAGGACAGGCTGAGGGAGCTGGGGTTGTTCAGCCTGGAGAAGAGGAGGCTCCAGGGAGACCTAACAGCAGCCTTCCAGCACATGAAGGGGACTACAGGAAGGCTGGGGAGAACCTGTTTCCAAAGGCCTGCAGTGACAGGACGAGGGGCAATGGCTTTAAGCTGGAGAAGAGCTGATTTAGATGGGATATTAGGAATAAGTTCTTTACTATGAGGGTGGTGGAGCACTGGAATGGGTTGCCCAGGGAGGTGGTTGAGGCCCCATCCCTGGAGATATTCAAGGTGAGGCTCAATGAGGCCCTGGGCAACCTGGTCTGGTTGGGGGTGTCCCTGCTGACTGCGGCGGAGTCGGACTAGATGGGCTTTGGAGGTCCCTTCCGGCCTGGGCAATCCTATGGTTCTTGACACCCACCCTTGAAGGATTTAGAGGTGTTGATCAGATTCCCCTCAGTCTGCTCTTCTCCAGACTGAACAGACGCAAGTCCCTCAGCCTCTCCTCATAACGGAGGAGCAGACAGTTTTCTCCCAAGCCAGGAGTTCTTCCCCACGGGCCACCCCGTGGAGATGGGGTTTCTTCGTGCCAGATTTTAACACCTCCCCCTTTCCCCCCACCCCATGCAGGTGATCCCCCAAGGGGTTGCCCCTACCCCCTGTGTCCCCTGCTGCCTGGTGCTGACGGATGAGAAGGCTTTCACCTGCCACGAGGACTGTCAGACCAGCTTCTTCCGCTCGCTGGGCACCGCGGAGCTGACGGACATCACCGCCGTCTCCACGGAGGCCGGCAAGGAGTACTGTATCCTGGTGAGCACTGGTGCTGTGGGACCAGCCAGCCAGGGGCTGGGAAAGGGATGGTAACACCTCTCTCTTGGTGTTTAGGAGTTTGCTCAGGACAGCAAGCAGTTCCTGCCCCCCTGGGTCCTCTATTTTAGTTGCACTACAGAACTGGAGAGGTTCCTCTCGGCGCTGAACGCTGCATGGAGGAACATCTACCAGGTGAGTGTGCGAGGCTGCCTCCGGCGAGGAAGGGCGAGCGGGGATGGTGTCCTGGGAGGAAGGACTTGGGTGAATTGTTCCCTGCAGGGTGAACCCGGCTTTCCCACAAGGGAGCATCTCCCTTATGAGGAGAGGCTGAAAGAGCTGGGACTCTTTAGTCTGGAGAAGAGAAGGCTGAGGGGAGACCTTCTTAATGCCTACAAGTATCTCAAGGGCGGGCTGAGGGAGGAGGGAACCAGACTCTTTTCAGTGGTTCCCAGTGAGAGGACGAGGGGCAACGGGCACAAGTTGGAACATAAAGGGTTCCACTTGAATATGAGGAAGAACTTTTTCACAGTGAGGGTGGCAGAGCCCTGGCAGAGGCTGCCCAGGGAGGGTGTGGAGTCCCCTTCT